TTGCATCACGAGATTCACCAAATAAGAACACACCAAGAGTTCATAATTGACAATGCTGAAATAGTCCCATCATCATCAACGAAGAACCAGAGTTGATATCCTATCTGGTGCTCGACGCCCAGACTACATGTGGCAGATCCTATCTAGCCTATACTACGAAGCCGAAAGATGACGTCAACAGCATTCCCGAAGTACGAGCATATGGCGACCAATGCCGCACGTTTCCTGCACCAGGTATGTCTCGCGCTACACTCACAACCTCGTTCCCCAACTCACAAATGCCACTAGCACCCAAGGACCACCCTGCGCCTCACCCAGCTTACAACAGCACAGCTCAGCTATGGCTATGTGCTCTTTCCCTGCTCGCTCGTGAGAGCGTAGGCGCCAGCCAGCAAATAGCGCAGCATGCAGCCAGCACCCGAATGTCAAATGAGGAGGCAGGCCCTTTCCTATATCGAAGTGGCCTGCCTGCTTCCAGTAGGCCCCGGTAGCCTGAGGCCCAGCACGACGAGAGCAGGCCTTGGGCCTGAAGTGGTTGCATGTGCCCAACTGCCTTCGGCCTGTGTTTGGCCCGGTACCCATCCAGCCTAGGGCCTGCTTCACACACATTCACACAGGCGGCCCAGGGCCTGGGTTCACTCAACCACCTGGCGCTGCGCAACTGCCTGAATTTCCCTGAGTTGCGTGGTGGCCAAAAAGGGGCCCTGAGGGCCTCGTCAAGGATCTTCCGGTTTGGGTGGAATTTTCGCTCCCTTGGGAAGAAGAATGGTGTTAGTATTGTTCTTCATTGTGGTCCTCGGTCCCTTACTTTTAAAGGCAGTCATTTTGAAGGCATTCATAGATTCATCGTCGTTCACATACTCAGACTCATGGGCTAACAAAGAGCAAAATACCCCGCAGTCTTGCTCTTGATCGTCATCAAGAGAAGATTCCTCCACGAGGGTCTCCTCGTCAGCCTCAAGCAGATCGTGTGCTGCAAAACGGTTGCTGCCTGGAAACCGTTTGCGGCTGGTGGTCTTTTTGCCACTTGATCCACCCGGGAGGTCTTGTGCCTCCAGCTTGACTAAATCCCGCATGAGGGTAAGCCAATATGTATATGTGCTGAGTCCGAGCCCTAGGCGATCTTTTAGAGTAGAGGGGACCGTCCCTTTTATCACATCCAAACAAGACTGCGCAGTCGTCTCCCTATCCAGAGTAGCAAAGAGTTTACTAACATACTGCTGCAGGCTATGCATGGTGCCGGTCCACTTGCTGTGCTTGAGCTTGTCAAGCTTAAGTCTAGCTTTGGCTGCTGAAGACACATTTAGAGGGGCATGTGGATCATCATACTGTTTGATCAAAAGATCCTCGAGTGTGGCGGTAGGCGTAGCCTTCAGCCGTTTGTTCAGGTCTATTCTCTTATAGCCTGATTGGACAGCTTGGGTTTCCAAGAAACCCCTCACGACGGGCTCCACATTAGTCCCTAGGATAGACGACAAGGTTGACGGGGGGGTCCCCAACACATCAAAGTAGGATCGCATGGAGCTGATCCAAGACTCGATGTCGTCCTTTCCGTCATACTTGTACGGAATCTGCGCCGCCTTCCTGTCGATGTAGGCAAAGCTGCCGCTAAGACCAGCCATTGTTTGGTCCGAACTCGAGACTGCAACAGTTCCAGAATTCCCTGTACTGCCACTTGCCGCTGCAGCAGCAGCAGCGGGGTCTGGACCTACTGCAGATCCGGATTGGCTGTTAGCCACACTCAAAGACGAAGAAGAAGTAGAAGAAGACACATTTAGAGGGGCAAAAACAGACTGACACGCAGCACTAGAAGCAGGGTAGGTAGACGGAAGGATGCTTTGAGCTGGCTGCACATTAGCAAACTGCTGCAGCTGGTCACGGTGCTGTTGCGCTATCAGGGCCATGTCCTCGCGCAACTTCTTAAGTTCATCAAACACTTTGGCGAGTTGGCCAGTGTGGTCCTCAACAGTCCGGACGTCCACCAAAGCCCGGAGGAGTGGAACGGTTTTCTCTTCCACCTTCGCATCGGTCAGGGCAGGCAAGGTACAGAAAATGGCTGCATGAGCCTTTACCTTCTCCTCCCTCTCCTTCTCTTTCCCTTCCTCCTCCCTCTTCAATGCTTTCTCATAGAAGAATCGGTACTGCGCTTTCTTTGCCTCAGGGGCAGCGTCCATTTGCAGCTTCCAATCTGCTGCAGATGCCATGATGGAGGACGAGGGAGTCAATAAGTCTCTCAAGAGGGGTCCGTACTTCCTTACTTGTCTGGGACGAACAATCCTCTTCCCTCTCCTCCCTCCCTCAAGAGCAACACTCAGAAGCTTCTCTCTTCTCTCTCTTTCTCTCGTTTGTGACCGTGTAGACGCAGGCATTAATGAACCCAATGTAAGAAACAGCTTGAAATCAGTCAAAAGAGAAGGTAGAACTCCTAGCCGGAGCGGCAATTCATTTGGACTGGAGAGCAGTCATCAAAACAAAAAAAAAAAAGATCAGAGAGATCTGATCCAGCCACACAGTCTGGACTGACTACGTATGGGGTCCTCCCAAGCCTAGCCGGCCTCAGCTCCGTGAAAACACAGCAAATCAGATTCAAGATGTACAGCGAAATGCAAGAGAGAATTGAGTGGTGCCCAAGGTGCGGGTCAGGCGGCGGATCGTGCGGTAAAGTCTGATAAAATGTCCCAGCGGAGATCCCCTCCGCAGCGAGTCTCCTAGTCCGAAAGCATAAAGTCCGAGTCCCAAACAGATAGAGCAAGGTAACTGACGTCAACAGATTTGGCCTGAGGGGCCCTTCTTGATTGGGCCCGGTCCCACTGAGTCCCAAACGGTCCCAGTGGAGTCAGAACCGGGTCCAAATCAACAAGAGTTCCACAAAGACCTACTCTGTCCCTACCAAATTGAAAAATGAAATTTTGCCCCAGAAAAAACCTGTAGACTACAATCGTTCAGAATGAAATAAACAAAGCACTGTAGAGAGATATCACATGGCAAACAAGATACTCCATTCATTCACTCGTCAGGTAAGTAGGCAGTTCACACACCTCACACACAATCAAGACTATGGAGGATGGAAGAAGAACCCAGAGAACCCCAACAGGCAATCAATTCCATGCACACACACATGGGCACCCTGGTGGCACGACACTTACCTGAGTGGCCGGGCTCTTGAGATGAAAAGAACTCACCCCCCATCTCACACAGTCCTCCTGACCCAATTAGCATCCTCTACACTAGTGTCCTATCATCTAGGAGGGTCAACATCTACCCCAAAGTACAAAGTCGGATCCCCCGTCGATGTTGAAGATCAAAGCAGCAACTTGCAATCCGTAGGTGCAGATATGGCTGCCACCCTCAAGCTCGCCTACTTGAGGGGAGCCCTAAAGTCACTCCTCATCTTCCTTGAAGTCCAGATTCAAGTTGTAGGTGCCCTTCACTGTCGCGTCTCTCAAATTGCATCACGAAGTCCCACCTTGTGTCTCGCCACCACAAACATGCACTCAAGCAACCTGGCCGGGCCTAGTGTCGACCCTACACGGCCCTGCCAGGTGGGAGCAGCTTCCCTTCACTACGCTGCCCCACTTAACCCTAACTTCCAGCCCTAACCCTAAGTGGTTAGCCCTTACCACTAGGGTTAGGGTTATGGCAGCCAAGTCAACTCTCGCCAGCAAGTAGAATCCGCTCTGATACCAATGTTACGATCCTGGCCAATTTCGAAGTATGCATTCATCTGAAAGTACAATGCCATCCAATTGCAAAAAGAAATGAATCAACTTGAGAGGAAAGAGAGGGAAAGAAGAAGAAGAAGAAGTGAGAAAGAAGAAGATGATGATGTACTCCAGCATAGACAAATGTCAAGGCTCTTCTTCTTCGCCAACCAATCTCTTCCTCCTTATCTCCTCCCTCTTATTCAAACAAGAAATAACAATAATAATGTTGAAATGACTTAACCAGAATCCATGTCCGAATCCCACTTCTACTGCAGGCACAACATGAGGTCCACCATAGCCATGGCCACCCTTCTTCTTCATCTACATACAGGCCGACGCTATGGTGGATTACGGAGGCTTCAGCCTCCTGTCCAAAGGACAACACAAAGCAGCTATGCCGCTGCCCTACTCCAAGGTCATCACCATGCAGCTATGCCGCTGCCCACTCAGCCACCATGCCTGACTCTGTCCCGAGCTTCCTTGATGCGGCACTACCCCCACTGGGGCCTTCCTGATGCAGCGCCTAGCAAGGAGATGAAGATGGTGTCTACCATAGCCAGTAAGTGCCCCTCCACTCTCCCCCTTGGTCCCCTTCTCCCTCCTCCTCCCACCGGTAGAGCTCCACCATAGCCAAGGTGGAAGCTCCCGGCTTCTTCCTCCCAGCAGCGCTGTAGTACCCAGCGCTACTCCAGCCAGCGCTCCAGCAGCGTGTCGCCAAGCTTGCACACTGAAGAATGAGGCTGGGCTCAGCCTCTTGATATAGCGGCCTACTTGCCTCCTGGGCAGTGACTTCCAGGCCGCTCGGCCTCTCCAAGCAACCGGTACTTCCTCCGTTTCGGAGGGAAACATCATTGCAGACCCTGATATTACCCGTACAGGCTCTAGACTCAGACTGGTTGGACTGGTACCGGTCTAGACCTACCCTACCGCTACTGGACTCTAAAAATGCCAACTTTGTCTTTTTCTGCTCGGCCTCTAGTACCCCTTCACGCCAACTGCAGTGGGGTGCAGTATCGGCCTACCAGCCTACTTGAGTGTTTTTCCGCTACCCCAAGGGCCGCGGGGCCGCTAGCTTCGCCACTTGAGTGTTTTTCCCTGCTACAACCCTCAATGTCACGGCCACAGGTAAGTACCAGCCCTACGGGCCTGCCAAACAAACAAGTACCCTTGCGGGTCACACACACACTCATACCGACAAGCACTCAGAGAGGCACGCAGGTCACAAGCACGCACACACAGACAGACTTAGAAAACACAGCAGAATGCGGGAATCTCAGCAATGCATCCATTCCATCGGCAGAACTTCAGAAATCAGCAGTGTTCTCAGTCTGTGTTATGACGGGTCATTACACCTATTTGACTCCACCTATTTCACCCATTTGAACAGAAACAACCCAGTTTCATTTTGAAAACCCAAACCTATCTCTGTCTGAATGCACATGGGCTTCTGCATCTCCTCATGCAGGCCATGCTCCTGGATGTATACATGTGCAGGTGCATTCTGTCAGGGCTGTTGCACAAGTCTTGCCCATAATGTGAGATGGTTTGGAGACCCGGCAACAAGTGTGTCATACCGCAACAAGTGCCTCCTTCCATCACTTGGCAAATGCGGAAGTCATGCACGTATCTTGACATGGGAGGTGGCTTGATACGTTCACTGTACCTGACATAAAATGGGGCTTGATACATTCACACTTTTCGCATCTTGCCAGTGGTGGAACAAGACCCCAAATGTATATGATAAAAAATTTAAAATCACGTTTCCCATGGGAGCCACCAAGGAGTAAGAACTAGAAATTTGCTTTTTTTTCGTGATTGTTCGCCAATTTCTTTGACTATGATATTAAAAAATTTTGGATTCATTTTTAAGATGGGAACATTCTCAATTGACTATGAAAAATGTTTCAGCTTTTTTGGAAGACTTTTATGGGAATAACAGTAAATAATTTGAATAAAAATGGGATGACTTTTGCATTGTGAAATGTGCAATCATATCCAGCAAAACCCATAGGAATCATAATCGGACCATAATTCTCACTGGCTTAAGAAGACTGGAGTGTCTCCTTTGCACACATGCAGGTTGTGATGAAACCTGCCCCAGACCATGCTGATAAGCATAACCTTGGTACACAAACCCATTTTCGAGCCAGTTTATCGATTTTTTGGGATGTTGTGCAAATTTGAGGTTCGTCTTTTGGGTTGGCTGTAATTGTGATCAGATACGGGGTTAACCAGACGCGGATGAGGTTAGAGTAGAAGTATTTTAACTCGTATAAAGTTTTGAGGACTTTTGCGGCTAATTCAAGTTCTTTTCAGTTACACATGCATTCGTTGCATTGGACTCAAAGTTGGGTAACTTTGCACATATGAGCCAGCTTCCAACTCTATTCTTGCGCCAACTCCGCTGCCTTGCTCGTCTTGCAACCCTTCATCTTCTTTCTCGGTCTGATCTCGCGGGTCATTGGTTGTGTATGAGCTGGTCGGATCAAGCTGCATGAATGGTGATACCGCGTGTTGCTCTGCTGATTATCCCGTTTTCACGAGTTTTCAAATATTCTCTTGGATCCTTTCCGCCACGACAATCTGCCTTTACTCCATCTGCGCCAACCCTTTGCTGCATTCCTTGCTACATTAATATGACTGGGCAGATTGCGGGTTGCGTGCCAAGGCTCCTTGTGCAGGAGCCCGAAGGACTTGATGGAGTGATGAAGTGCGGTGGTTCTGCACTCAGGACTAGTAGGTTCAGTAGGAGGGATGAAGCAAGGTGGAGAGTGAAAGTGGTGAGGTGAGGATTGTGATGATAGGGTTGCTCTTCTATGTTTTGTGAAACGGAGAGTTGGTTCCGCGCTCCGTGCATGTTCATTTGTGTACGTGGTTAAGTTCGCATTCCCCATCTCTGGTTTGTTTGGGTTATATGAGTCAGCAAGTGTGCAGTTGAATGTCGATATGGTTGCTTGAACTTGGCTGTGAGTGTAGTCAAATGAGGGTGTTGTCTTTTCGAGTGCTTGATATTTGAAGGAAGTGATGGTGGGGCACACTGTGCAGAAGTACATGTGCGCTTTCCTAGAATCCTCTTCCTTAGCTCTTAGCCTGCGCACGGGTGGATGTGTGAGCTCAGTTTTACCTCTGTACGCCATAGCAGCCTTCCTTCGTTCCACATCACAGACTAAAACAATGTCTATTGCAATGCGGATGTGAGAAACTTGCTACAACACAAGGGGTGGTTGCATTTGTTTAACGCCCTCAAGAGCCTGTCACTTTGAGGGCAGCAACTTTGTTTTTATTGATTGCTTCAATTGTTCCCCTCACATTATCCTCTAGTAACTCACGGCCCTTCCGTGGTCTGCTGCGCATGCCACGTGAAACCCCCAGTTCAATTGCATCTGGTGCATGTAGAGGAACTCGTGATCCTACTAGCGCCCAGTGCTCAGCTATCAAGGTGCGGCGTGCTTGTGGAAAAACAGTCGTGCTGCATGCAAATAGCCAGAAAGCTTTCATGTGCCGGCTGATGAGCCCCACCCTCTGTCGCATTGGTTGTCATCTGAGCAACCCCGCACGCACCTGCGCTGGGTACTACAGCGCTGCTGGGAGGAAGAAGCCGGGAGCTTCCAACTTGGCTATGGTGGAGCTCTACCGGTAGGAGGAGGAGGGAAAAGGGGACCAAGGGGGAGAGTGGAGGGGCACTTACTGGCTATGGTAGACACCATCTTCATCTCCTTGCTAGGCGCTGCATCAGGAAGGCCCCAGTGGGGGTAGTGCCGCATCAAGGAAGCTCGGGACAGAGTCAGGCAYGGTGGCTGAGTGGGCAGCGGCATAGCTGCATGGTGATGACCTTGGAGTAGGGCAGCGGCATAGCTGCTTTGTGTTGTCCTTTGGACAGGAGGCTGAAGCCTCMGTAATCCACCATAGCSTCGGCCTGTATGTAGAKGAAGAAGAAGGGTGGCCATGGCTATGGTGGACCTCATGTTGTGCCTGCAGTAGAAGTGGGATTCGGACATGGATTCTGGTTAAGTCATTTCAACATTATTATTGTTATTTCTTGTTTGAATAAGAGGGAGGAGATAAGGAGGAAGAGATTGGTTGGMGAAGAAGAAGAGCCTTGACATTGGTCTATGCTGGAGTACATCATCATCTTCTTCTTTCACACTTCTTCTTCTTTTTCTTTCCCTCTCTTTCCTCTCAAGTTCATTCATTTCCTTTTGCAATTGGATGGCATTGGACTTTCAGATGAATGCATACTTCGAAATTGGCCAGGATCATAACATAGGGCAGAACCCTTCTGGTATCTGCAATCTCATGTTGTAGCCCTGCTGCAGGGGTGTATATTAGCCATCTTCGAAGTCAGGCTTCTCTTCACGGCTGGAAACTGGTATCAATGTCCATTGTGACCTTTCCATTTTTGCGGGATAGTTGTTTCTGTTTTCCATTCGTTCTTTTATGCAATTTTGCTCTAGGAATTTTCTTTCCGCACCTTAGCAAGCACGCCCCTCTGCTTACGCATC